ATATCATCTTAAGTAGTAGTGGTCGTTATATCATCTTAAGTAGTAGTGGTCGTTATATCATCTTAAGTAGTAGTGGTCGTTATATCATCTTAAGTAGTAGTGGTCGTTATATCATCTTAAGTAGTAGTGGTCGTTATATCATCTTAAGTAGTAGTGGTCGTTATATCATCTTAAGTAGTAGTGGTCGTTATATCATCTTAAGTAGTAGTGGTCGTTATATCATCTTAAGTAGTAGTGGTCGTTATATCATCTTAAGTATTAGTGGTCGTTATATCATCTTAAGTAGTAGTGGTCGTTATATCATCTTAAGTAGTAGTGGTCGTTATATCATCTTAAGCAGTGGTGGTCGTTATATCATCTTAAGCAGTGGTGGGCGTTATATCATCTTAAGTAGTAGTGGTCGTTATATCATCTTAAGCAGTGGTGGTCGTTATATCATCTTAAGCAGTGGTGGTCGTTATATCATCTTAAGTAGTAGTGGTCGTTATATCATCTTAAGTAGTAGTGGTCGTTATATCATCTTAAGCAGTAGTTATCGTTATATCATCTTAAGCAGTGGTGGGCGTTATATCATCTTAAGTAGTAGTGGTCGTTATATTATCTTAAGCAGTGGTGGTCGTTATATCATCTTAAGTAGTAGTTGTCGTTATATCATCTTAAGTAGTAGTGGTTGTTATATCATCTTAAGCAGTAGTGGTCGTTATATCATCTTAAGCAGTGGTGGTCGTTATATCATCTTAAGTAGTAGTGGTCGTTATATCATCTTAAGTAGTAGTGGTCGTTATATCATCTTAAGTAGTAGTGGTCGTTATATCATCTTAAGTAGTAGTGGTCGTTATATCATCTTAAGTAGTAGTGGTCGTTATATCATCTTAAGTATTAGTGGTCGTTATATCATCTTAAGTAGTAGTGGTCGTTATATCATCTTAAGTAGTAGTGGTCGTTATATCATCTTAAGTAGTAGTGGTCGTTATATCATCTTAAGCAGTGGTGGTCGTTATATCATCTTAGTAAGGAGGTGATATAATATATTTCGACCAAACATCCCTGCTTATGTCTATAGGTAGAGCGGATCACGGCCTCTTTCCTTCGCGACCCCCGTCCCTACGCCACCTCCTTTCTTCGCAACCCCCTCCCTACGCCACCTCCTTCCTTCGCGACCTCTTTTCTACGCTACAACCTTCCTACGTGACCTCCTTCCTACGTGAAATTTCTCCTACATGACCTCCTTGCTACGTGATGTCCTTCCTACGCGACCTTTCTCCTACGCGACCTAGCTCATATGTAACCTCCTTCCTACTCCCACCTCCTTCCTACGCGACCTCCTTCCTACGCGACCTCCTTCCTACGCGACCTCCTTCCAACGCGACCTCCTTCCAACGCGATCTCCTTCCTAAGCGGCGCTCTTCGTACGCTTCCGTCTTCCTACGCGACCTTTGCCAACGCGAACTCCTTCCTACTCAACCTCCTTCAGTCGCAATCTCCTTCGTACGCGACATCTTTCCTAAGTGCCCCCCTTCCCCCGCCCCTGATTCTACTGAGATTAACCTTTGCCCCAGCGATGTCCCCATAAACTGTAAACATAGTCCGTGCCCCACAGTTTCCAATCAAAAGTGTCCCGAACCAATGGGATTAGTATCCAAACAAATTTTACGTGATGGCGTCATCAAACCGTGGGCACGTCGCAAGGTAATCGAACGTTTCAATAAGAAATCAAATAATGGTGAAAGAATCGATTGATAACGGCTAAATATTTATTTTTGGACGATCACAAGACAAAGCCAGCCGGAGGAAACGGTCGTGTGTGGAGCAAAAGACAGGATGTGATCAGTAGAGTGGGTAACAAAAAAAGAAATGATCCAGAAAAGTCCGATGCTATATGATGTGATGGGATGTAAAAGATTCCTTCCACTTCCAGGCAATTTGTTGTGTCACGTGCGGCTTCGTGTCAAGTGGCAGCTGTGTGTGTGCGTGCGTGTGTCTGTCAAGAGTATTTTGTGTGCCTTGGGTAGGGCCGGAGGGGAAACCCTGTGATTGATTGTCGTCTTAGAGAAATCTGTCAACGTCTGGAGAAATCTGTCAATGTCTGAACATTTTAACAATAAGCCGAAGATAAAATTATTGTGTTAAAACAAACATTCTCTTAACTTGTCCATGCTACCACCTTCATTGAAGTTTACCTCCATGGGATGTTTCTTTTATTGAATGCTACCTTCATGAGATGTTACCTTCATGAGATGTTACCTTCATGAGATGTTAACTTCATTGGATGTTACCTTCATTGGATGTTACCTTCATTGGATGTTACCTTCATTGGATGTTACCTTCATTGGATGTTACCTTCGTTGAATGCTACCTTCATTGAATGTTACCTTCATGAGATGTTACCTTTATTGAATGTTACCTTCATTGAATGTTACCTTTATTGAATGTTACCTTTATTGAATGTTACCTTCATTGAATGTTACCTTCATTGAATGTTACCTTCATTTAATGTTACTTTCATTGAATGTTACCTTCATTGAATGTTACCTTCATTGAATGTTACCTTCATCATTTTCGGGTGACAACAACGGGAATTAGCTCAAGGCAGTGGTCGGCAAACTCATGAGTCAAAAGAGCCAAAAAAAAATTAGCAGCTGGATGATTAAACAAAATGTTTGAGTTTGAGAGCAACATTTTTTTTCCAAGAACCTGTCAAGAACCATGTTTTTCGAAGTCGAAACCGATTTGTGGCCAGCAGAATGCCGAGTCGCATTCAGGTCGCTAAAAAACCGCATGTGGCTCGCGAGCCGTGGTTAGCCGACCACTGGCCCGAGGGAACATTATCATTATTTCTGTTTTGTTTTGATGCAATTCATTCACGAGACGAGGCAAAAAGACCGCAGTTCTAGAACCACTAACCTTCTGGGCCGAAGATGACACTGATCACCTTACCCCAACCTTGATCTGGCTTTGTTAAGATAAATCTAACTTTAGCAGATATTTCTACACTTAGTGGTCGTGCATGTTGAAAGCCACGGGATATCGACTAGTAGAATCGTGTTTATCAAAGTAATGGTATCGATACTGGACCCATTGTTATAGAAAAAAAACAATGGTCACGAACGCGATTGTAGGTCAGCGATCAGAGTTAGTTCAGTAGTACTCGATCTTAGTAGTTGAGTAGTACTAAGTACGAAAGTGTGTTGAGGCAAGCTGTTGTGTAATGTGTTTAATTTTCCTTGATTAGGAAGGGTGATGAGGCCAGCTGTTGTGGTATGTGTTTAGATGCCTAGGCGTATGAATAAGGGGCGGTCGGCCCTGGAAGGCACTTTTTATCCTCCATATGAAGGGGCGACATTTTTTGGCCAACTGCAGCGTAACTCGTGGGAAATGGAGGGGGCAAAAAAATGTTAATGAAGTAATTAAAAAAAAAATATGCCAAAATTTGTAGCATAACTTAATGTCTAGTGACTTCCTTGATTTTAAGTTCCTTTCCTTGCCTCCCCTGAGATGCCGTCTCTTATTGTGTGTGCGAGCACCAGAAGGTGGGGAAACCCTGTGCCTTAAAAATGAGGATTTAAAATAAAGTAAAGTGACCTTTAATCAACAAGAATTCTTTACCTAAGCCAGAAACTCAAAGTGACATGCCCGGTGCACGAGTTGATCGGTTCTGTAAAGCTGGCTTAACAATAATTATATAAACTTTCATATGAATTAAGAATTCTGAAAAGGTGATATGTACTTAAAAACGTATTTATTGCATGGGAGACAATTGATTTTTGGCATTCAGCAGCCCAATAATTTTTTTTTTTTTTTAAATAATGAAATTGATAATAGTTTAATCTAATCATTAGAGTTTTAAATAATTATCGTTTATTAAAATGAAATGTTTTGATGAGTTAGGATCCAAAAGTTTTTTAAACTTATTATTCCCAGATTTCTACGATGATGAGCTGATGAGACAGTATAACGTTAAAAAAAAAACGAGTTCAGATTCAATAAAAAAACAACAAAACCAACAACTAGAGGGCCACACATTCATTCATTTACAACACGATTGTAAGATAATTAGATTACTGACTTGTCTGTGTTGCTATGGCTGACCCACTTGACCATACCCATCATCAGCTGCCGACAGACTCTCTTCCCAGACGTGACAGAACTTCTCAGCGCGATTTCTCTGGCGCGGTCTCGGACTGCCACCATTGCCATCGACAGCGCGGCATTCGCGTGTCTGCTGTACCGTGTGGCCGAGATATCAGACCAGGCTTCAGCGAGGCGGCGACGAGGCGTGGGGCTAACCCCACCAAAACCCAGGCGAGGTGATCCGACCATTTCCACAGTCGGGCTGTCTGTGTTTCTGTGGGCGAGTCACCTTTATGGCAGAGCTGGACCGAACCAACAACTCAGATGCCCTGACCAACGACAGCCTCCACTACTACCCCGAGCCGTCCTTCCCCACGTGGGTGCCCGCCTTCACCGTTGCCGTAGCGATGATCACCTTCCTGGCGGGATCCTTCTACATCCGCCACCGAAAAGTTGTAAAGAAACGCCAGATTCTCATGGACTACTTCTACATCATATTCCAGTACGGCGGGCTCAGAAGAAAAAGAATGGTGGCTGCGTTGTGCAACACGAACGCCATCACACTGAGAGAGCTCGGCCGGTCTTTCATGATAAGCTTCGACTCCATAGCGAATTCTGACAACAGTTGCCCGTTTTACCCGGAGGACACTTCATTCACGCAGGGGTCGTCACTCACGCCGAACGTCCACAAGAGAACATTCTTCAGAAACCGGGGAATGATCAGCACGAAGAAAGCTCGAGGCCCTTTCCGTCGCTACAACACTCAGTCCGATGAGAGCCAAGGCCCCAACCCGGTCTCGCTACAGGATATCTTAATGCGATTTAAGACGAAGCGTCCAGGGGTGACCAGTCCCACGCCTATGAGGAGCCGACCCAAAAATCAAAGGCTGGAAGGGAGCTCGATGTGTGCCATTCACGGGGACGAAGATGAATTCGATTCGTACATTGAAGAAAACGAAGAGCCGCAGTTCAACAGGCAGAGGCGCAACGCCTACGTGGATGTGCGTCAAACGTGCGGTCTGCGGTTCGCGGACGTTGTTACAGAGGTGGGAAGACATTCGTTGGGGAATGTCATGGCCGACGGTACCACCAGGACGTCCTCGCCTTACCCCGGCAAGAGGAACTCTGAGCCCTGGCACAACGTGGAAGGATGCGCGTGCCCTGATCTTTCATCGTGCGCTGCTAGAAACCCAAGAGTCTTTCAACTCAACAACGAGCGTCTGTCTCCGTCCAACGTCGTCTGCGGCAGCCACGGTTACATTCCCAAGCTGTCCGAGGCCAGGTCGCTCGGCAGCTCGGCGGGCGCGTACAGGAACAGCGAACCCACCATTCTCATCCACCCGGCCAGCACGGACGTTGACCCGACTCAAGGATGGAGTGACATTCGCAGCAGGTACACCAACGGGATTGTATTTTTGAAGAGGGTCCCTAAAGGGGACGGTTCTACGGGGGAGTATTTCTACGAAGAGCAAACCGATCCCCAATTGGACCGGGCGAGACGGGCCAGCCTCAGCAAGGTCAGCTATGTGCCTTCAGGTAATATGAACGAATATTACAACTATTTGACGAGTCCGAAGAAAACCAAAGTGGAGCTTCCAAAACTAGACACCGCTTCAGACAGTCCTACTCCAACGAAATCTTGCCCGGGTCTCACTTTGGGGCCTTCAAGAAACAAACGTAGTCGTCTCAGCCTCGGCGAGATCGCCATCAGTAATTTCAACAAAAGGATCGATATCGGCAGCGAGAGCCACGAATCGGCTCCGGAGTCGTCCATGGAAAGCAAAGGCTCGCACGAGTCGGCGTCCAATCCGCAACATTCTAAATATAGGTCCACGTGGATGAAATTCAAAAACGTTTTCACCACCAGCCGATCCAGCCACAGCAGCGGCTCGCAATCCAAGACGGGGAAATCCATGTCTGTGGTCGAAGAGCGGCACAGACGCCGCGGCCGCCACGTTGACTCTCGCTGGAAGAGGTTTGTCAGCGTCTTCACCGGCTTCCGGTCTCTTCCCGAGACGAAGCTGTCCTCGCATTCTTTAGATTGTCCGAAATGCAGCTCCAGCGTCCCCAGCGGTCTGGACCTCGCCGAAAAAAAATGTCCTTACGAAAAATGCAACAGCGTTGATGTGGAATCTGGCATAGGCCTGACAGACATGAACATCTCCAGGGTTTCACTCATAAACGAGAAAGTGACGGACCCAGTCGAGAATTTCCACACCCTGGACCGGCCGAAGTCCCTGAGGTTGCCTACGCATGCGCAATCTGTCCCCGAAGAACTCATCAGCTTGAGAAATTTCAATCAGATATTCAAAAATCCGGAACAGGCCAACGAGCCGATCAATCCTCTTGACGTGTCCATTCTTCCGCGCCGATACCGTAAACGTTGTGATCCAATAGATGCCTCTTCCCTCTCATTGCCCCAGTCGAAAAAAGATTTTAGAACCTACATTTTCCAAACAGGGGGGTTGAACTCCCCGGGAGAAATGAGATCCCGCATGCTGCCGCGAGAGATAAACACGCCACCAGGCCAAATGGCGTCTCCGTGCTCTTCCGACGGACACTTCTACAGTCGAAGATTCCGAAACCTGAGTCCACTCCCGGAAACCTGTATTGGCGGATGCCAGAAGACCTGCGGCTCCAGGAGTCCAAGCCTGACAGCAGACGCAGACAACGTTTCTGAGAAGAGCGTGTACTTGACCCCTTCGCATTTAAACGCCGATAAAGATTTGTTCTTTGAGCTGACCGGCTACAGTAATGAGATCGGACGAGATATCGTTGCGCGGGATCGTTCATTGTCCAACGACAGGCTCAGTTTCATAAAAATGCCGTTCTTTGATCTATGCAGCGTTCGGAAAATATCATCGGAAACAAACTTGTCGACGAAATGTTCCAGAATCGATGCTAACGACTTACCTTTGGGGAACCGCGGAAACAAAAACTGTTCAGCGCATAACGATTGCTGCATAACGTTCGATATCAAATCAGCACAGACAGATTCAAGCAGCTCCATAAACAATGAACTATCCTGGAACAAAAATGGCAATAGCCAGCCGACGCTATCACATCTCACAACGAACAGCCCGATGGAGGCGTCTACGCGTGCCGCTATCAATCACTTGACCATAGACCACCGACAAATCGCTCTGAGCAGTGACTCTGTGTATTACGACTCGCTGAGCGCCGTTGGGACGCCTTGCCAGAAATCTCCTCAGGATTTGAATGGCTTATTTACTGAGAAAGAAGAACCTTCCTTTGCCATCGTAGAACCATCACCGGACCGATCTCCGTCATCACGCCTCGACGAGGTCAACACTAGACCCGGCTCCTCTGGCAAGAACAGTTTATTTTCCGAACTGTTGAGCACACCATATGTGTCCAGGGCACCTACGCCCACGCCGAGTGAAACCAAGCAGTCTTCGCCTTTTGCCTCGAGGACTCCATCGCCGTGTTTGTTCTGGCAGAGTTCACCCCGTGAGATTTCAAACTCTTCCAGCAGCCCACATCTGGCTAAACCAACCCCTACCAGAAAGGATTGGCCAAATGATGCCCTTGGGCTTGCCCCGTCCTTGCTGCCCCCTCAAGTAACGCATCTCGCCTCATCGTCGCTCACGAAAGAGACGAGGTTCGCTTTTAGGCCAGCTCTTCAAGACAATGGTCCGACATTCGCACCAACAGCTAAAAGCAATTGTCTTACATTTACATCAACAACTAAAGACAATCGCTTTGAATTTACACCAGTTACTAAAGACAGTTGCCTTGTATTTACACCATCAAGTACAGATAATTGCCTTGCATTTACACCAACAACCAAAGACAATTGTGTTGCACTTAAACCAACCACAGACGAAAGTCTTACATTTACACCAATTCTCAAAGACAACGGTTTGGCGCTTTCCACGCCCACCCAAGAATGCTATCGTCTGCTCTCCTCCAACGAAGGTAGAAGCCAGCATGAAACGCCCCGTGCTTCCCCAAACTCGTCTCTGACAGAGCATGACTCTTTGGTCAGCGGGCCCGACCACGCCGAGTGCCCCACGACGACGGCCGCATCGCCGCGTGGGTCCAGGAACCCCACGCCCACGCGTTCTTTCAGCACGCCTTCCCCGAGTTTCGACAAGACGCCCGGCAGCTACGTCTTGCCCGAGGAGAGCTACAGGGCGAATGTCTCCAGACTGCCCAGGTTTGCCAGACGGGCGAGCCAAGGGACGCCGGTGCCCTATGTTCAAAGTCAGGATGTAGTGCAGGCCAAGATGGGTGAGCTGGTGTTGTATAACGTTTCGTTTTAGCATCGAGAATAAATGAGGATGCTGTAAGGCAGGGGTGGGCAAACTTTTCGTGCGGAGGGCCACATTGACAAATGTAAAGCTATTGGGAGGGGGGGGGCGGGCGGGCGCAGGTGTATATGATGTCCAATTTGTACATGTCGATAAATATTTCTCTAAAAAATCGGTAAAATTGCATTTCAGCATTAGATGACAAAAGTCATGGACTGTTTAAAAAAATAAAGAAAATTAGAAAGAAAGTTGATCAAAAAGGCTAAAACAATCAATAACCTTACATGACATTCTTTAAATTTATCAAATAACTTAAAAATAAAGTAATTTTTTAAATATATTTCTAAATACCTTTACGGGCCGCATAATATCAGTTGCCGGGCCACATGTAAGGAATAATTAAGTAAATTAAATACTTTAACCCACGCTGTGTAACATTGGTAGATGGGGTATTTTAAACGGCACCAAGGAAAAGATTCCATATAAGTACTAGAGATGTTGAGAGAATAAAATGACTGATTGAACAAAGACCCTTGATAGAGTGGAGACGGTTGAGACAAAATGCTAGCAATTTTGGGAATAAGAGCCTAGGACAAAAAAGAAGCCATTTATAGAATATAGACCTTTGAAAGAATGGCGACCATTTAGATTTAAAAAAGAAAATATAGAGAACTTATAATTTGAAATAATAGAGGCCATTCAGAGATTACAGACACTTGATAGAATCGAAAAACCTAAGAGAATAGAGAAATTTTGAAAACATAGAAACTTTAGAGGAAAGAGAGACATGAGAGAATAGAAAAACTTGCGAGAGTAGAGACACTCGAGAAACTTGAGAGAATAGATAAACTTGAGAACTTGAGAGAATAGGGACACTTAAGAGACTAGAGAAACTTGAGAGAATAGAGAAACTTGAGAGAATAGAGAAACTTGAGAGAATAGAGAAACGTGAGATAATAGAGAAACTTGAGAGAATAGAGAAACTTGAGAGAATAGAGACACTTGAGAGAATAGATAAACTTGAGAGCATAGAGAAACTTGAGAGAATAGAGAAACTTGAGAGAATAGAGAAACTTGAGAGAATAGATTAACTTGAGAGAATAGAGAAACTTGAGAGAATAGAGAAACTTGAGAGAATAGAGAAACTTGAGAGAATAGAGACACTTGAGAGAATAGAGAAACTTGAGAGAATAGAGAAACTTGAGAGAATAGAGAAACTTGAGAGAGTAGAGAAACTTGAGAGAATAGAGAAACTTGAGAGGATAGAGAAACTTGAGAGAATAGAGACTCGCGGGAGTATGAACCTTTGAGAAATCATTGAGACAATTGTTAATTGCACAAAGAAAACATATGAAGAAGACTTTGGAGAGAATAGATGAAGACTATTGAGAGAATAGATGAAGACTATTGAGAGAATAGATGAAGACTATTGAGAGAATAGATGAAGACTATTGAGAGAATAATTAGACCTATTATTGAGAGAATGAATAGACTTACTTTTGAGAGAATAAATAGACTACTATTGAGGAAATAGCTTGTTGACCCATTTTCCATCAGAATTCGTCTTTGTTTAAATAAACGAAGGAATAAAATGACCTCTGATTTATCTTCATGCGTGGTACGGACTGTGAAGCAAAAAACTTCACACAATAGATAAATGATCTGGTTCTGAAAGCATATCGGGTGGTGGCGTTGCTATGGAGATAATAGGAGAGCTCCATTTACTTTTTGTTGTTGTTGAGATCACGTGATTTCGCAGCAATGATGAGCAAGACAGCGTCCGGCTGTCTGATAAAAATAGGGATTTTAAAAAATAAATTTTCAAAAGTTGAGAGTATATCCCAAGTCGTGTATTTAATTATAACTATCACAGAACAGAAAGTTTTTATTTTTAATTTTTTTTTTTTTACTTAAGTTCAATCGTCACGCATGACGCCCGTCCACCCCCCCCCCCAACCTCCATCCAGTTCTTTTATGTTAAAAAAATGTGGAGTTTGGGGGTGGGGGTGGGGGAAGGGCGGTTTAAAAAAGGAAGCAGGACGCACCAGAAGCCAAAGATATATATTTAATATAGCCGTCCAAAACCGTTATTGTTTTTAAGTATTAATTTACACAATAAAAAGATTCATTTGTAGATTTCAGGGGGGAACAAATTCTGCGTCATGAACGCTTGCCCCAACTTTTGAAATTATTACTTCATATCACGATTTGTAGTCCTCTAATATCTGCTGTCTAAGAATTGCTGTCTAAGAATTGCTGTCTAAGAGGCCTGATTTCCAAGAAGTTTTTTAAGTCAAAACTTACACACAGTTTTAAGAACGGGTACATTAGGGTCATTTGTTGAGCTGAAGACGTTTAGGCCGTCTTAATTTGCATGTCGTCGAAACAACAATGTCGATTTACTCCATATATTATAGATGACGTCATTAGATGCACAAATAAACAGGCCTACTCTCTAATTTACATTGTTTAAATTGAAACAGAAAAAAAAAAGAAAAGGCCTCATCCTTGCGGTTCACTGTGCACATTCATTAGAGACAACTATTTTCTATGGCCTCACGTGGCTCGTCGGCCTCATGTGGCTCGTCGGCCTCATGTGGCTCGTCTCGCTTTTTCCGTGAAGTAAGGCGAAATGATAGTTTTCTTTGAGTTTCATAAGAGCTCGGTGTTGATGTCACATGTGCGATAGAATGGCTCTTCTATGCAACACTAACTTAGCTGGTCAAAATTAACCTGAGAGCGTTTATCTTATGATGTAATGAAGGTGGTATCACTAGCAGGCCAATGTAAGAGGGACATTACTATTGATGTCATGAAGGTGGTAGCACTAGCAGGCCATTGTAAGAGGGACATTACTATTGATGTCATGAAGGTGGTAGCACTAGCAGGCCATTGTAAGAGGGACATTACTATTGATGTCATGAAGGTGGTAGCACTAGCAGGCCATTGTAAGAGGGACATTACTATTGATGTCATGAAGGTGGTATCACTAGCAGGCCAATGTAAGAGGGACATTACTATTGATGTCATGAAGGTGGTAACACTAGTAGGCCAATGTAAGAGGGACATTACTATTGATGTCATGAAGGTGGTATCACTAGCAGGCCATGCACTGTAAGAGGGACATTACTATTGATGTCATGAAGGTGGTAACACTAGTAGGCCAATGTAAGAGGGACATTACTATTGATGTCATGAAGGTGGTATCACTAGCAGGCCAATGTAAGAGGGAGATTACTATTTAAAATTTGGAAAATAACAAGAATGAAACGCTATTATAACATTAAATAATCCATGAATTCTTCCAGCAGGTGAGAAAAATGGACCCCTGCGAGAGAGCAGCATGGAAGTGACGTATGCGCCTAGAAGCATGGAAGTGACGTATGTGCCTAGCAGCATGGAAGTGACGTATGTGCCTAGCAGCATGGAAGTGACGTATGTGCCATATACTCAGAACGTAGCGGATTCTTTGGAAACGGACGACATGTCGTCACCGTGTGATTCTCTAGTCTAATCATAGATGGCGCTACATCCCATGTAGGGGGATCTCACCTATTCTCTAGTCTAATCATCGATGGCGCTACATCCCATGTACATACCAGACTATGAGGATGTGTTTTCTTTACATCTGTCAAAACCGACTGGACGCTATCCCCCAAAGCGTACTTTGTGCAACGGCCGAACTAAGTGTGTTATACGGCCGAACTAAGTGTGTTATACGGCCGAACTTAATGTGTTATATGGCCGAACTTAATGTGTTATACGGCTGAACTTAACGTGTTATACGACTGAACTTAATGTGTTATATGGCCGAACTTAATGTGTTATACGGCCGAAATTAATGTGGTATACGGCCGAACTTAACGTGTTATACGCCGAACTTAACGTGTTATACGGTCGAAATTAATGTGTTATATGGCCGAACTTAATGTGTTATACGCCTTTGTTAAATGTCTTGATGACACCATCTTATACCTCATAGAGAACCTCCACATTATTTGTACATGTGAATAATTCTTTGTCTGTTATGAATGGTCATGTGTAGTGACTTGATTTGTTTGGTTGGCTGTAATTGTGTGCAAGATCCCCCAAGAATGCTTCTAACATGTTCATTATTGTATGATTATTAAAAGTTTTGTTGCCATGTTACAAATGTAACTTAAGAATACGAAAGCTCTGTTGAAAGTCTCAGGTACACTGAGAATTTAAGTACTGATGTAACTCTCAGGTAAGGGGCCGTCCATAAAGTACGTCACACTATTTTTGACCATTTCAACCCCCCCCCCTGTCACAAACTGTCACAAATCAAGGACCCCCCCCCTAAAGTACGTCACACTTTCGAACAAAATTTCTTTTTAATTAACACCTAATTAAAGTTTAATCTAAAACACACTTCACTATTAAACTGTATGGAAATATAACATTTCCACTTAATTTCCACTATCGCATTATTAAAATGACTTTAATAGTAGAATAGTTAATTTTGAACAGTTGTCACAGTTATTCATTGAAGCAGTAACTCAATCTAGATTGAATTTGAAAACAAAAATTTCAAAAATTAGACTAGACAATTACATAATACACATCATTTATCTGCTGCTTTTTCATTTGCAATAGGTGATGTCAAGTTTTAGATAATCTTCCGATTATGCAATCTTTTTACACAGGTTAAGAAGTATATTAGAGAAACTTGACCACACCAAATGATTAAATAATAAAAAGGACAGTGACATAATTATGCAGCGGACAACATAGAAATAATAATACTTCAGGCATGACGAAAGCAAGGCTATACATAAAACAAGGCTTCGCAACAGCATACTAGCGCTCCTAGCGAGAGGAATCGTGAACAACACATTAAGGAGATACACATTTCATGCTACTTTGACATAAAACTAATTCGAATGTTTCACAAAATTTTTGAAAATTATTTTTAAAGCTATTAAATTCTACTAAAAAAATAAAAAATAAATTAGAAATGAAACTTTAAAAAATAAATGTGTGACGTCACACATGGCCTGACCCCCCTCCCCCCTGTCACACTTCTTACACCCCCTCAGAGCTAGGAGTTTGGGGGCCCTAAGCATGGAGCGTAGGTTGGGGGCCCCGGAAGGGTGGGTCCGGGGGTGGAGCTCCCTCGAGCTTAGGAGAAAATACCACCCACCACTGCGGCACCTCCATTCTGCCTTCATCAATGTTTCCTCTTTGCTCGCGTGTAACCACTAAACATATTGATAATTCCGCCACTAGAGAAAATGTGTACTTCTGAAATATATGGACATGCAGGTGGTAGTGGGGCCTTAGGCGGTTGCCTAGTTTGCCTATATGCCTAAGAATGGCTCCGAATTCAACTCAGAATGATACATTTCATGATGAGGAAGGTAACGTGAGTGACACAGACGGCTGCAGTGCCAGTTTAAAAAAAAAAAAAAAAACCGGGGGATCGCGGGCGCCTGACGGGGGCCCCCTTCACGTTCGGGGCCCTACGCGGATGCGTAGTCAGCGTATGCCTAAGAACGGGTATCTCGTGCGGTATTTGACTTTACCGGCCGTCCCCCCCCCCCCATTCACAAAAACCAATCTATACAAAGAATACACAAGAAAATCTATTTATATTATGCCAAGTTTTCCGAAAATGTCGCCCCCGCCAAAAAAAAACAAACAACAACAACAACAAAACAAAACACTAAAAAACAAACAACAAGTGCCGTCCTGGGTAAACCTACCCTTCGCCCCTCCCTCTTTCGGCGCCCGCGCCCCAATGTGTTGTATTACAACCCCAGTGCCACACATTTCAGTTGATATTCTCAGTGACGCGATGTCGTTTTAATACAATTATTCCAATTGCGAAGTAACAACTTTACAGCTTTCTTCTATCTCCTGACAAGTGGTGGGCCGACCTACTGGACCTATCTACTGACAAGTGGTGGGCCGACCAACTGGACCTATGTCCTGACAATTCCTGGGCCGACCAACTGGACCTATCTCCTGACAAGTCGTGGGCCGACTTACTGAACCTATCTCCTGACAAATGGTGGGCCGACCAACTGGACCTATCTCCTGACCTATTTGACCTATTGATGAGTACAACGAGAACAACAATGCTATTCCCAGGCTGACCTGTATGACGAAATAACCGAAGACTTACGAAAGAACGGACTCAGTTTATACAGGATTGCGTTAAAAGGAACAATAGATTATATAGGATTGAGTTTAAAGCAACAATTTAAGAAGACACAAAAAAAAAAAAAAAAAAAAAAAAAAAAATAAAAAAAAAAAAAAAAAAACACCTAAAAAAAATTAATTATGCAGCGGACAACATAGAAATAATAATACTTCAGGCATGACGAAAGCAAGGCTATACATAAAACAAGGCTTCGCAACAGCATACTAGCGCTCCTAGCGAGAGGAATCGTGAACAACACATTCAGGAGATACGCATTTCATGCTATTTTGACATAAAACTAATTCAAATGATACACAACATTTTTGAAAATTATTTTTTAAAGCTACCGTTATTAAATTCCACTAAAAAAATAAATTAGAAATAAAATTTAAAAAAAAATAAATGTGTGACGTCACACATGGCCTGACCCTCCCTCCCCCCTGTCATAAACTGTCACACTTTCTTACACCCCCTCCCCCCTCTGGAGCGTGACGTTCTTTATGGACGGCCCCTAATCTGAGAATGTAACTAGTGATGTAACACTCAGGTAAACTGAGAAAGTTAGTACTGATGTAACTCTCAGGTAACCTGAGAATGTAAGTACTGATGTAACTCTCAGGTAACCTGAGAATGTAAGTACCGATGTTTAAGTCTGACCCATCGTCGGCTGATGCGGAATGCCCATTAATATCTTTCAAATTGGCAGATAGCCATGGAAAGTCTTTACTTTGTTTCGCAACTTTTAATATTGTCATTAAAAGAGCCGCCTGGCAGGGTAGCTAGAGTTGATGACATCTCGTGCGGTATTTGACTTTACCGGCCGTCCCCCCCCCCCATTCACAAAAACCAATCTATACAAAGAATACACAAGAAAATCTATTTATATTATGCCAAGTTTTCCGAAAATGTCGCCCCCGCCAAAAAAAAACAAACAACAACAACAACAAAACAAAACACTAAAAAACAAACAACAAGTGCCGTCCTGGGTAAACCTACCCTTCGCCCCTCCCTCTTTCGGCGCCCGCGCCCCAATGTGTTGTATTACAACCCCAGTGCCACACATTTCAGTTGATATTCTCAGTGACGCGATGTCGTTTTAATACAATTATTCCAATTGCGAAGTAACAACTTTACAGCTTTCTTCTATCTCCTGACAAGTGGTGGGCCGACCTACTGGACCTATCTACTGACAAGTGGTGGGCCGACCAACTGGACCTATGTCCTGACAATTCCTGGGCCGACCAACTGGACCTATCTCCTGACAAGTCGTGGGCCGACTTACTGAACCTATCTCCTGACAAATGGTGGGCCGACCAACTGGACCTATCTCCTGACCTATTTGACCTATTGATGAGTACAACGAGAACAACAATGCTATTCCCAGGCTGACCTGTATGACGAAATAACCGAAGACTTACGAAAGAACGGACTCAGTTTATACAGGATTGCGTTAAAAGGAACAATAGATTATATAGGATTGAGTTTAAAGCAACAATTTAAGAAGACACAAAAAAAAAAAAAAAAAAAAAAA